CCTGTGATTTTCAGAGGGAGTATGGTTCCACCAATATCTTGATTTCAGACTTCTAGTCTCCAGAACTGTGAGACAATAGATTTCTGTTGTTTAAACAGTCCAGTCTGTGGTACTTTCTTTTTTGTTGTTGTTGCGGTACGCTGGCCTCTCACTGCTGTGGCCTCTCCCACCGCGGAGCACAGGCTCCGGATGCGCAGGCTCAGCGGCCATGGCTCACGGGCCCAGCCGCTCTGCGGCATGCAGGATCCTCCCAGACCGGAGCACGAACCCGTGTCCCCTGCATCAGCAGGCGGACTCTCAACCACTGCGCCACCAGGGAAGCCCCTGATAATACATTTTTAAAAGAAACTAGTAAGACTAGATTTTCTCCTCCATTCTCCATGACTCTTAACAGCTTTAATCAACTTTGACTACTCCCAAGTTCCAGTCATAAACTTCAATGGTCTTGTTATTTTTTCTTCTTTATTCATAGTACCTTTTCTGGCAATACACAGAACTAAGTCCTATGTAAGAAGTATTCATTAACAAAATGAAAATGAAGCTTATTAGTGAATCAAGATTTAAATACACCTCTAAAATAGCACCTCTCAATAATGAGATTAACTTTTCTACAACCTACTTTAAAACATGGGACATAAACTTACCTTTTGCCCACAATATGGGAGGCTATGATAAATAAGTATTATCACATCTTAGAAGTTGTTACAATTCTTAGTTCATCATGGCAGTCTGATTTGGTAAATCACAGACGTTCATGATTCAAAAAGAAAATCCTTTTGTGAGTGCTGGCACGTTTCAGTATGAAGTGGCTAAGACTCATTTTTGTGTAAATAAACTATCTAATTGCCTCGCTTTAGCTTTAGAGAATAGTTGTCATCTTGTAGTGAACATGGTTGAGGCAGGGTGGGGAAACAGTCATGAAGTCCATCACTGGGACTTCCCATGTGGCGCAGTGGTTAAGAATCCGCCTGCCAATGCAGGGGACATGGGTTCGATCCCTGGTTTAGGAAGATCCCACATGCCGCAGAGCAACTAAGCCCGTGCGCCACAACTACTGAGCCCGTGTGACACAACTACCGAAGCCCACGTGCCTAGAGCCCGTGCTCCGCAACAAGAGAAGCCACCGCAATGAAGCCTGCGCACTGCAATGAAGAGTAGCCCCCGCTCGCCGCAACTAAAGCCTGCACACGGCAACGAAGACCCAACACAGCGAAAAATAAATTTAAAAAATAAAATAAATAAATTTATAAGAAGTCCATCACCTGTGATACCATCTCCTCTTCCTGCATTATATACAGGCTCACAGGCTTCCCAAATTTGGGACACTGTCAACTTGATTTATGAAAACTGCCTTGGCATCCTGGATAAGACAAGCTAAAACCTACTTCAACTAGAAATGTGACAGAAGACTCAAGACTCTTGTGTACTCCCATAAACTTATAAAAAGGACAACTGATGAGACAAGTTACATTCACTTAACCTTTGATGGATAATACTATCTAAGAGGTTGTTCCTATTTATACCCAGGAGAGGACAGGGAAAGAGAAGGGTCAGACACAAGAACATGAAGATCAAAGACCTCAGGCAACAGCAGACCCTCCACTTTAATTAGGATTCTGAATTTAAAAAATAGTGGAAATACAGGAAATATATAGAAAAGAAGATCTCATCAAAGGTTCTCTGAATATGTAAGAGAACTAGGATATGGTTAAATTGAAATGGGATAGCAACAGATAAAGATGAGCTGGTCCAAGGATCACCCTGTGATGCTATTCAAAGGACAGCCATTCCTGGGAGAGGTGATCGTGTCTTCTTCCAGCCCTCCCTCCACTACAAGCTACAGCCCAGTGGTGAACAGTAACCAGGAGACTTGCACAACCTTGACAGAGCCCCATTACAGGTGACCACAGATGCACCCATAATGAGGTACATACTGGAAAGTAAAGAAAGTTGTACCACGCAAGGGTCATGAAAATACACTGCAGTGCAGGGAGAACTGACAAATTCCCCAAACATCAGAAATTAGCATCAATTCACTCAAGAGGAGCTAAAAAAAATAATTTGGGGAATGTAAAGTACCAACTTATTTTAAGTCAACACTAGTAACAAGTAATTAATATACAGAGATATAAAAGATGTTAAGTATCTTATCTACAAGCATAGAAAAGTGACAGTTTCAAAGAAGTTTGCTTCTATCCAAAATAATCTATAGTGGTCATTGACTTATACTCTCTAAAGGAATAAAAATTAGGGATTGGGTAGGAGTGTTTTCTCTATTACTTACTTCTGTATTTTCTATAGATTTAAAGTATCCTTCCTTCTCCCACCCAGGTTGGTCCAAGGCCTGGACCACCACCATTTCAGGTTCATTCCTTTAAGTTCAGCATCATCCTTGTCACCCTCTCCTCTCTGTCTTCTATTTATGTACCTCTAAGAAATCAATATTAAGTCCTTAAGTGTGACCCTCTAGACAGAGGCTTTCAAACTTTTGACCACAACAAATACAAGAAATACTACATTCTACAACCGGAGCCAGTACATACCAGAAAAAATCATACCTATAAAACCTACTTGTAAGCTTCTCAAAACATTTACCCTTACTACATATGATAGACTGATTTTCTCCATTCTACTCCACCTTATTTTAATGCTGGTGACCCAAGTATTAGGTCCAAACTCAGTGTGAAATGCTTAGTAGAGAAGATACACTGACGTATCTCACCAAGTAGCAACATAAGGAAGCAGGTAAGAGTTCTGCATTCAGGCTGCCTAGATTCCAACACCAGCTCTACCACCTGAAGCTGTCAACCTCTCTGCCTCAGGTTCCTTATCATGGGGTAAAAGAACAGCGTTTACCTCAAAAATGAGGCTTAACCAAAGACCATCCACAAAAAGCACTCAGAGAATAAAAAGTATTCAATTAATGGCTATTAATAATTCTTAAATGGTCTGTGACATTTTCACTGTCATAAAATACATATGACACTCATCATCTTAACCATTTTAAAACGTGCAATTCAGTGGCATTTAGCACATTCACAATGTGTGCAGCCATCACCACTCTCTAGTCCTAGAACGTTTGCATCATCCCAAGAGGAAACCTGGAACCCATTGAGCAGTCACTCCCCATTCCACCCTCGCCCCCAGGTCCTCTTGGGTAGGGAGATGATTAGAGTCCCCCTCATCTGATTTCTGTTCCTAGGTCCATGGACTTTTTAAATAATAAATTAACACTTGACTAGAACCGTCTTCTAAGGTAGAATGAAGTGTTCTTTGCAGTCATTAGTCCTATGGCTCATGAGACAAACTTCTGCTAATCATTTCTTAAGTAAACCTTTTGAGACACTTTCGGTCTCAAAAGTCAGGAGGACCTCCCCTACTCTCGAGGTCAGAAATCCCTCTCTCCTGTGAATTCTATTAGGGCGATTCCCAAAGCCTGACCAAGTGCGGCGGACACTTTCAGTGTCCACAAGAGGCAGACTGAGCAAGGCCCTAAGAAGATGTTTCTTCATTACATTCGTGGAATATCACCAAATGGTAGAATATTCACCAAATGAAGAATGTGTATTCTTCAGTCTTCCCATTTTGAAATTCTGTATTTGAGGCTCCAAACTTTTACCAACAAAGGTTTAAAAAGTAAACTTGGACAAAGAACTAGATATCCATTTCTTGGCTTTAAAATGTAGTGTCATTTCCTTTATGTGCCTCACCCCTCTCACACTGATTTCTCACCCTTCCTTTGGGGTGGGGGAGACTGGGCAAAAATAACTGTTTTCCCCAGAATCTATTCAGGAAGTCTCCAGAAACTTGATTGGGGAAATAATCTGAGCAGGGAGGTTACCTTGCAAAGCAGCACTGTTATTCTTTGAGAAATGGTGAAGGCAGAAGGCTTCTTAGACCAAAGGAATAAATGTCACCAAGAGGTACAGAAGATGTGGACTGGAAAACAACGCCCTTGGTCCGAGCTGTGCAAGTCAGATCTTTTTTAACTTTTTTTTTTTTTAATTAGTGACCAACATCGCTCACCCAGCAATTAGGCAGCGAAGTTCTCAATCATTTTCCACCGCCACCCCGCGCCCCCTACTTCCCGGCCTCCTGGGCAAAAGCCTGACCCTCCTCAGGCGCCGAAAGCACTGGGCCAACCCGGCTCCTTTGGGATGTGTGGGTGGGAAGTGCGTGATAGAGAGACTCCGGGTCCCACAGCCCAGCGAACCTCCCAGACTTCCAGGAAGTCGCTTTCCTGCTTTGGGGTTTGGGGAGTGGGGGAGAAAAGGCGGAGAACGCTTTAAGCAGCAAACTAACCTCCCAAAAACCTCACACTTCAAACTCCAGGAAAGCCCATGCCCAGAACTATGCCAAATTCTGGCCAAGTCCTGAGCTGGAGTGAACTGGATGTGAACAAAAGAGAATTACGACCTTCGGAACACCCGGATACCCTGGCAAGCCAGCAAGAGTGAGGGTCCCCGAGTTTGCAGCAAAGAATCACCCCCGGCTTCAGACACACAAAGCCAAGGCTTCACCCCAGACCTACCAAAAATGAGACCTCCAGAGCAGAGATGACCTAGGAAGCCGTCACTTCCACGAGCCCAGGTGCACGTTCCTCGGGCATCCGGCCCTGGGCGTTCAGGCGACAAGGGCTCCAGGCTCCCACCCGGGGGCGGGGGTAAGGGACGTGGGGAGGCTCTGTGACTGCGGTCCCGCCAACCCGAGGCTGGAGGAGAGGGCCGCGTGCAGCGAGCGGGGAGGACCCCGCGAGGGCCGCTTCAACTAGTCCCCGGGTGGAGAGGCCGCTGACTCCCACCGCGGCCGAAATGCGTCCCACGCAGGGCCCTCTCCTTGGCCGGACGGCTGGGCCAGGGCCGAGGGCGGGGTTCGGAAAAGTGACAGCACTCGGCTTCCTCCGCCAAGAGTGAGCAACTCCGGGAACTAACTGGAACCGGCGCGCGCTTCCTGCAGCCACCTCCCCAGTGACCGGCACGCCGGCCGGCGGGCGCACTGACCTGAGATGGTCTCCTGGTAGCCCTTGGTGAAGAACTGCATGGCCGTGGCCGCCCTCCAGGGCGTCTTGAGCAGCCCCTGCCGCTGGGGGTCCTCGCCCAGCGAGCGCAGGATGGACGAGTAGGCGGCCGCCAGGTTGGGGAGGTTCAGCTCGTTATCCTCCTCGCTGCGGGGCCGCTCGCCCTTCCAGCCGTCCGCCGGCTGGATGCTCTTGCTCTCCGGCCGCGGCTGCTTCTCGGAGGGCGTACTGGGCCTGGGCCGCGGCGGCTCCCCCTCGGTGAACCCATTGCTGCACCGGGCGTCCCGCGGCTTCGCCTGCACCCGCCCCGGGCCCTTCTCCATAGACCTGCCGCTGCCGCCCCGGAGGGACCCTCGTACGCGTTAGGGGCTGCAACTGAACTTCGCCGGCGGGCAATGGACTGTGACCGCAATCACCTGAATAACGTAGGCCTCGTGCCAGGGGTAGGCTCCGAGCCCGGAACAGAAGAGACTGAGGAGTGCCGGAGCGCCTCCTTTTTATGGGCTGGCGGCTCGGCCGGCGCCGCGGGGCGTTTCCATTGGCCGAGGCTCCTGGCGTCATGGCGCTCACTCCGCCCCTTCGCCCCGCCCTCCGCCGGGTGCTTTGGAAGCCGGCCCCTGAGGCGCGGACTTTGTCCGAGTCCGTGGCGCGGACCTTGTCCGAGTCCGTGGCGCGGACCTTGTCCGAGTCCGTGGCGCGGATCTTGTCCGAGTCCCTCCCGCGGACCTTGTCCGAGTCCCTCCCGCGCCAGGCGGGAGGATTGGGTTGGACCCCTCTGGCTATTGCCGGATGAACTGAATCCTAAAGCGGGCAGGTGTTCGGAGCTGGAACCTCGGCGAGGGGAGGCAAGGTCTGGGTGCCCCGTCAGCCCTCTCCTCTTAGGGCAAAGAGTACGCTGCATCAGAAGTGTTCTGGTCGCCTCGCCCTGTGAAAGATGAGCAAACAGGTGGCCTCGCCGGGGAAGAGACTGGGTTAAAATGTAGGTATGGAAACCAACTCATACTTTTAGGGCAACAGAATAATATGAATTGAAACGATTGCGTTCGTTAGTTAAAAACATGTCCAACGCACCTGCCTCCAGCCGCTGTCAGGAGGAATGTTACACCAAGTGGTCCTTAAGTGAGTCCCTATATCTAGGAGGACGGTATCTGTGGTGGCCAGAACTTTGACCCTGCAGAAATGGGTTTGCGAGCGAAGAAAAATTAGGGGTCTCATTAAAAACCCATTTGCGTTTTGTGGAAACGCAACTGTGGAAATATGGTGCTGATCGTTTTAAGAGTGACATGCTAAGTGCCTTTCTCCTGATGCTGATAGAGATTGTGAAACGTTATTGATCAACTGGACTCTTAACCAGTGACATCTGCTTTGACTGTTTAAGATTTTTTAAATGGACTTTTTTTTTCTCACTAGAGGGATTATTTCATAACATCAAAGGTGAGTTTTAAAACATGTATCAAATTAATATTTTATGATTTGCCCCAGAGAGTTTCTAATGCTGATTTTCTGACATATAAACACATATTTAAAGGCTTAGGATCAGACAAACCAGGAGGGAAGCCCCTGGAATTATTCTATGCTAATAAAGTAGCTCAGTCATTATTATTAGTAATTTGTATTTATTGGATGTCTGCTCCAGGCATATTCCTGTTCTAAACATTAAGGAAAGAAATATGGGAAATACCTAGCCTCCTAGGTACCTTTAATCTAAAGTAGAAGAATTATTGGTGTAAGTGGGGTTTTTCAAAATAGTTATTGTATTTCTGTATACAGTAAATATCAAATTACATAGATCAAGAAATATGAACATCCCTTGGAAAGCCTCTTTGTCACTCTCCTACTATTTATTGTCAGTGTTCCAACCCGTCCCCCTCGTCAAGGTCCTATAATATTTTTTCCCTGTAACTGCTCTGCCCACTGTCCAAGGATACTTCCTGGTCAGAATTATCCACTGGGTCTCAAACTATTTCAAGCTGGAGACAACATTAAAGGATGGCCTTGTATTTAACAAATGAAAATAAAGATACCAAGTGAAGTATTTTTAAAACAGAGGGATTCAATGGAGATGCTTTCCATGAGATTTTTTTTTTAGAGGCAATCATTTGCCTTCCTTTAAAAACACTTGTAAACATTAACTAATATATTTCCCAAAGCAATTTCTAATGAAATTTTACCCTAAAAATTAACATTTTCTTATAAACACTGCCACTAAGTCATTAACATTTTTATTGCCAGTTACCAGTACAAGGTCTCTGGATTTGTTCTACATTTACTTGTAAATTGGAGGCAGTGTATTTCAGCCAAATGCCCAAAGGCAATACAAGGAAGCTTTAAAATCATGAACACTAGGCAAACAGTTTAACAGTGAAATGTAGGTAGTTGGCAGGGATGGTTATAAGTAGAAATGGGAGAAGAAGAGGGAATAAATTAAAAGAGGAGGGATATATCCCACAGAATTAATTAGCATAAAATGGTTCAGCAGTGAAACTATGAGCATTCACAACCAGGAATTACAACAGCATTCATGTTTTTAACCCAGTAAGGGGACTCATTTTCACCTTGGACTCAACCTGCGAGTTGCTTTCTATCAAAAAGCCAAGGAATTTTTTTTTTAAGTTCTCCCATTTCTAGGGCAGTAGCAAAACAGAGAAGCAGATGAGTGAGATACACAGCACCAAAGACTGAAAATACTGCAGGGCTACAGACATATGTAGTCACTTGCCAAGGGTAACAGGTAAACTAACATTAAGCATTTGGCAATAGTAATTGGAAAAAAGCAAATTTCTCCAAGTGTGCTTGATGAAGGTTCTTTATTTGAAATCCAAACTTTGGAGGAGATTCTGGATCAAGATTGGACATAGGGCTTCCCTGGTGGCATAGTGGTTAAGAATCTGCCTGCCAATGCAGGGGACATGGGTTTGAGCCCTGGTCTGGGAAGATCCCACATGCCGCGGAGCAACTAAGCCCATGTGCCACAACTACTGAGCCTGTGCTCCAGAGCCCGCAAGCCACAGCTACTGAAGCCTGCGTGCCTAGAGCCTATGCTCCGCAACAGGAGAAGCCACCGCAATGAGAAGTCCACGCACTGCAACAAAGGGTAGCCCCCATTCTCAGCAACTACAAAAAACCGGCGTGCGGCAGCAAAGACCTAATGCAGCCAAAAATTAAATAAATGAATAAATAAATTTATAAAAATAAAAATAATTTAAAGATTGGACATAGATAATAACAAGGTGGACGCAGGAAAAGTGTCCTTGTTCCACTCCTAACTTCCAGAAGTTAGCCTGTGGAGTCAATGCAATCCTGAGATGTCTCACTAAATCCCCCAAATGTAGGGAGAAGCAAAGTGAATGGAAGCCCTTACATTTCTTCTCTTCTGAATGAGGAGGAATGGAACAAGAGAGAAAATGGGAGAATGTGAACACTGAGCTGACTTTCTGAGATGGAAGGGAAGGCTCGAGGGCACCTCACTGAGTTGAGAAAACTATCCATAGCCCAAAGGTACCTCACAAGGGAAGAACAGACATACGCCAGGTAGTCACCTGTCCCTGGTAGAGGATCTTTAATACCATCTCGGAAGAAAGGGCAGATGCTGAAAAGGGGACGTTAATGGAGAGTCCAGCCACCACAGCTGAATTCTGTCCTAATCGTCACGATCCCTCAGGGAAAACAAGATACAACACAACCTCCTCCAGCCCCAGACTGTAGCAGAGTGAGGGAAACAAACAGGCTTCCACTGTAATAGGAAACACAAAGAAGTCACCCTCAATAATATGAGGCAGGGACAGGAGGCAGAGAAGCAGCATGGCAACCGTGCAAACATACTGTACAATGGCCAGATGGAACAAAACTAAACAAAGAAAGATAATAATGTAGCATATAAAAAGCACAACATCAAAAAATGCAACTGAAAACAAACTCACAGAATAGAAGAAAATTCTTCACAAATGTTTTGTTTGTTTGCTTGGTGTTGGACACCCGTTTAATGTGGACACTCAAGGCCTGGGCAGACTAGGGAGCATGCAGGAGTTGGGCAGGTGGGCAAGGTGGGTGGGTCACTGGCCCACACCTGGCCCCAAGAGGAGGTGCTAGAGGTGGGGGCTGACCCAGGCACGCCAAGGGAAGTACCAGAGGGTGGCCTAGGCAGGCAGACCCCCAGGAGACCCATAGGCCAGCCCTGGAGAAGGTGTCTAAGCCAGAGGATGAGTGCTCAGGCCAGAGCCTGGCCCAGGGAGGCAGGGCTGGGGCATGGCTGGGGGCTCCCGAGCTTAGGGGCTGGCATCACTGGGGGCCTCCCCAGTTGGATTCAAGCAGCTCCTGGAGGCGGGCGTGGAGGTTGTCATTCTTCTCCTCCAGGTGGCCAGACAGGAGTTGATCTGGTCCAACATGGAGTTAATGGCAGCGTATTCTGCTTCCCTGAAGTCATTGTCCCCACCTTCCACGCTTGCCTCCACCGGCATGCCCGGGTCCCCACTGGGGCCCAACATTGCAGGCTGGGGTGCTGCAAGTGCAGAACGATGATGGAACGTGGCTATGGTCGCACTGACAGCTGGCGCAGGGTGGAAGATGGAGGCTCATAAATGTTTTCTGCTACAGAAAAACTTAATAAAAACATTGAGTTCAATAAGACAAAAACCAAGGGCTTCCCTAGTGGCGCAGTGGTTGAGAGTCCGCCTGCCGATGCAGGGGACACGGATTCGTGCCCCGGTCCGGGAAGATCCCACATGCCGTGGAGCGGCTGGGCCCGTGAGCCATGGCCGCTGAGCCTGCGCGTCCGGAGGCTGTGCTCTGCAACGGGAGAGGCCACAGCAGTGAGAGGCCCACGTACCGCAAAAAAAAAAAAAAAAAAAAATTACACAAAAACCAAGATAATAAAATGATAGAATTGAAAAAGGAGTTACAGATCTAAGAAAATAGAGGACCATCATTATTATGGCATTAATTAGAACCATGTACAAAACAGACACTGTTGAAAATGTAATTATTGACATGAAGAAAGGCATGGGAATGAATGCAGAATAAAAGACAAAGATGAAAGTTGTTAGAGAAGACAAGGATGATCTAGCATAAGAAAAATCAGTGTTTCTGAGGTAGAGAACCCAACAAATGAGAGAATGTAGTCAAAGATATAAGCATATTTCTCTACCAGAAATAAATGTTTATATTTATGTTCAACTGATATTTTCTTTTTTTTGAATTTTATTTTATTTATCTTCTTATACAGCAGGTCCTTATTAGTCATCCATTTTATACACATCAGTGTATACATGTCAATCCCAATCGCCCAATTCATCACACCACCACCCCCATGCCCCCGCAGCTTTCCCCCTTGGTGTCCATACATTTGTTCTCTACATCTGTGTCTCAATTTCTGCCCTGCAAACCGGTTCATCTGTACCATTTTTCTAGGTTCCACATATATGCCTTAATATATAATATTTGTTTTTCTCATTCTGACTTACTTCACTCTGTATGACAGGCTCTAGATCCATCCACATCTTTACAAATGACCCAATTTAGTTCCTTTTTATGGCTGAGTAAGATTCCATTGTATATAGGTAACACATCTTCTTTACGCATTCGTCTGCTGATGGGCATTTAGGTTGCTTCCATGACCTGGCTGTTGTAAATAGTGCTGCAATGAACATTGGGGTGCATGTGTCTTTTTGAA